TAATGTTGATATCTTGTAAATAATCATAAATACCAGCAGCATTGCGACTTTGAAACACTGTAATTATTTCCAGCTAAATGCCATGGCTAATCGTGCTGCGGGGAAGGGCTACGAGAACGAAGACCATTACACTAATACAAAACTGCAGTTCATTGGCATAGAAAACATCCATGTCATGAGGAACAGCCAACAGAAGCTTATAGATGGTAGACCGATTAATCCTTATTACTTTTATACCAGCAGATACTTGTCTGGTGTTCACTTGCTGTCCATATGGAAAATGAACCTTTTCTGTCTTGCAGTTGGTGAACTTGTGGCTCCCTCAATGAGTGATTTCCTGTGGGGTCTGGAGAACTCTGGATGGCTAAAACACATCAAAGCTGTACTAGATGCTGGAATCTTTATTGCAAAGGCAAGACTTTTCAAAAAGTTTTAAAGATGATTTTTAAAAAGCCATGCTATGTTATCAGAAGTGATTAGAATGGACATGGAAAATCACGGAAATTCATTGATAATGCATGTCTAAAAACATGGCATGTCCAAAAAAAAAACAAGTAGAAAACCTAAGTACAAATACAGTATGATTGATATAATCACACATGTATTCTTCCATTCCTGTCTGTGTTGCCAGGCAGTGGCAGAGGATGGAGTGAGTGTTCTGGTGCACTGTTCAGACGGCTGGGACAGAACAGCTCAGGCCTGTTCGGTGGCTAGTGTACTACTAGATCCATACTACAGAACTATCAAAGGACTGATGGTAATAATAACGTTGATTATGACCGATCCATTTTGCTTTGATTTTCAAATCCGTGCTATAGTCCAACATCATCTAAGACTAAATATGTAACATATGATTTGCCAGTATTTGAACACAAGTCTCATTCCTTGTAGGTTCTTACTGAGAAGGACTGGGTATCATTTGGACACAAGTTTTCCCACAGGTTTGTGTTTTTCATTTCAATTTGCTTGTTTCTGGCCTCAAAATGTTGGACACCACGTACAACTTGCAGTTAATTTTTGTTTCTTGAATTGAAGCTTTCTGTGAATATCCTCTACTGTGTATGTTGTGTATGGATAACATGCGAGACCAGAAAGGCCTCATTCTTGAGTCCATAGCAAATACTGTGACTAAACCATCAGTCATGCAGTGTACAATGTTAACTCTGCATCTCTAAGCTTTAGGTGAGCCTCTACGCTCCAAGAATGAACATTTGTGAACAAATATGAACCTTTTCTTACGTGGAACATAAAAGGAGACATTTTCAAGAATGTTCAAGCTGCTTTTTTCCATATAGCAAAAGCTTACAGTGACTTCGAAGTCTTCTAAAGCCATACGCTAATTTTGTGTCATGTTTAAATTGTTTTTCACTGATCAAAAGGAATTTGCCTATGCGCATATTCAAACTTGGCACGTCTTGGTGTGATGTCAGTGACACCAAACCACCGGTTCTTGCTTGTTTTGTAATGTGACACACTAAATTGGAATATCCAAAAGTGCAAATGAAATCTGAGAGTAGAAAGGTTTGGAATTGAATAAGGCTAAATGATGATGAAAATATATTTAACTATCTCATTACTATTTACATCTTCATTTATTAATAAAATGTTCTACAGGTACGCTCACCTTGACGGTGACCCTAAGGAGGTTTCTCCAGTCATGGACCAGTTTCTGGAATGTGTGTGGCAGCTGATGCAGCAGTTCCCCTGTGCGTTTGAGTTCAATGAGCGATTCCTCATACAGCTACACACACATATATACTCCTGCCAGTACGGGAACTTCATCGGCAATTGCCAGAAAGAGAGGAGAGATTTGAGGTAACAAACACATTTTGCCATTTTTCTGAATATGGATTGCTGAGAGAGAAGAGGGGGGGAACAGGCTTCTACTCGCACCTGCAGCTCAACATGTCAGTGTATGTATGTAGGCAAACGGCTAGAAATCAACTACTTTTTGAACTGAGATGGTTATAGATGTACTAGTATAGATGGACCACAGTCTGTTTACTGGCATATTGTCCACGAAATGGCAAGATCCAGCCAGGAAACGAAATCATGTTTTAAGGATACCGGGTTGATATTATGAGAGCTCCTAAATCCCTAGATACACCAAATCGACTTTGGTGTCACATCACGTCACCTGTGTCTGAACCAAAAAGTTGCACTTGTCAACGGCCAACTAGTATGTACATTCTGCGTGAGAGGAAATAACTCTCCATACCAGAAGGTGGCAGTATTCAGTATTTGTCATTCTAAAAAGGAAAACTGGAAGAGCTAGGACTGTGACTGGGTCGCCATGATTTTGCCAAGACATGTTCCTGGATCAACATCACTGTCCAAAAATGTAGACCTAACCCAATAGCTACCCCTAAACCTAACCCTACCCATAATTTATTCATAAAATCAG